TTTTAGAGAGGGACCGCAATGTCATCGATGCATCTTAGGTTTCTGAGATTGATAGAGCAATGAAGAAGTATTCTGATAATCTGATGCATGCAATGGACGGTGTTAGTGCACGACTATCCCAATTGGAGACAAGGACCGGCAACCTTGAAAATTATGTGGATGATCTGAAGGTGTCTGTTGGAAACAATCATGGAAGCACCGATGGAAAATTAAGACAGCTGAAGAATATTCTCAGAGAGGTACTCATTGCTTTGCCTGTATATTTAAGATTGATGATGAGTTAGAAGATGAATTCTCTATACTGTCACTTTAATGTGTAATTGGCAATCTTTCCATGTCTATTTTATGGACAAGGAAGTTTATTGGCTCATTTATTTTACAATCTTTTGCTATTGCAATCATTTGTGTGGTCTTCTTGTCTGAAACTTAAATGTTAGTCAATTAAATAATGTAAGTGACCAAAATTTTCACACGATAATTCATTTTTTTATATGGATTATGAAGATTTTGTTGGCTTATTTAAGTTGAAAAAAAAATGTTATTGACAGCATTGTTATAAAATAAAAATAAAAAAAAAAATTACACAGAGGCACATTGAAGCACCTCCGTGTGCGCACAGAGGCACACCGTGTGCCTCCATGCACGCACCGCACATGGAGGCACCTCCGTGCGTGTAATTGGCAATCTTTTCATGTCTATTTTATGGACAAGGAAGTTTGTTGGCTCATATTTATTTTACAATCTTTTGCTATTGCAATCATTTGTGTGGTTAATGTATGTGACCAAAATTTTTATACGATAATTCATTTTTTATACGGATTGTGAAGATTTCGTTGACTTATTTAAGTTGAAAAAAATGTTATTGGCAGCATTGTTATAAAAAAAAAAAAGAGGAAGTTTGAGATGTTGATTTCTACATATTCTACAATCACCACACATGATACATCTCTTTTCCTTAGACTGAATGCCAATGATGCTGTACACTGTAACCTCTCACCTGTTTTCACATGGCTTATAACACTAATT